GAAAAAACAATGGCTGGGGCAGGGGCAGGGGCTGGGGCTGGGAGGGAAAAGTTGGCATGTGGAAAAAGTAAAAAATGGGAAAAATTGCTGACAATGCAATCTGAATTGTGCATAAGCTAAAGTTTGTCAGCTCAGCTCAGCTCTGCTCCGCTCTCTCTCTCTCTCTCTCTCTCTGTGTGGTTGGGGATGCCGATCTCCCACTGCACACACACCCACACACGCAGACAGGCAGACAGTCATGCATGCATCTTGGATCAACACTTGGCGGGGTGAGGGTGTGGGTGTGGCCACGTGATATAATGTGATATGCTATGACAGCCCAGTGAGGTGAATGGTTATGAATGAGGGCGGGATAAAAATGCAAGGAGAAACTTTTGATATTACAGCTATCGATAGGGCATTAGATGGCTGCGGGGGGGGGGAGGGGTATCGATAAGCGCGCAGACAAATGGCAACCTGAACCTGAGCACTGATTGAGGCAGAGTCTGTCCCTTTACATTGTTTTATTTTTTTTTTTTAAATGATGCCCCATAAATCTCTGCATGACCTTGAACCAGCTGTTTGACATCTTCCATCTTGGGCAAACCCAGCATGACACAAGTCAGAGCTTGCTTGCCACCTTGCAACACCAGGCAGGAACCATGATGATTGATGACACACTGCCTCCGCCTTTACAGGCGCTGTCGCTCTCTCTCTGTGGGCTTTTGGGAGCCCCAGCCAGGGCCAAATACTTGTTAACACGTTGTTGCTTACGGGTTACGGTTGTGTTGGCCTGGGGCCCCAGGACACAGCACTCCTGGGGAAAATGTCAAAAGTTGTCAAATCAAGTTGCAGCCCAAGGAGAGACGCTGCTGCTACATGCTGCACGCTCCGCACTCCACACTCCACTGTCAGCAGCGACATAGTTTGTGGAAATTATCGAAATTGTATTATGGAAATTTCATGCAAACCAAATTTTTTCCGTAGTGCTGCTGCTGCCTGGCTGCTGCTTCGTTTTCTTTTTGTTGTGCTTTGATTTTTTGTTGTTGAAAATTAGTTTTTCAATTTTCTTTTGAGCAAAGTGCAAGAGGCCCTGGCCGAAACGAAAAGTTTCTGCCAGCCAGAGAGAGAGAAACGACAGAAACAGGAGGCAGGGCAGGCAGGACAGGGCAGGCCAGGGCAGGCCAGGCAGGACAGTACAGCACCCAAAAGTTATGTGCATATTTATTGATGCAAAGGCTAGATGCTAGATCTGTGCAATATTTTTTAATATGCAGATTGATTTGGCAATCGGAATCGATTTAAGGATTTTTTGTTTATTTATTTATTTATTTATTTGGCCCGCGGCCATTTGTCATAGCTGAAGGATGGCCCAGAGAGAGTCTTGACTGCATTTTTTAATTAAAAACTTTTTACAACCAAAAAGGGAAAAACTCCGCAGACGCAGCAGCCCCAGCAGCAGCCACAGCAGCAGCAGCAGAGTCATAGATAACCCCAGATCCCTCCAGGTGCCTGTTTCTGCGCAAATTTATGCCCAGTCAGAGTCCAAGGTGCGATATAACACACGTAGTTAGACCTCGACACCGATTCAACCTTTGCACTGTGTCCCCGTACCCTTTGCTTTTGCCTTTGCCTCTGCCTTTTGGCCAGACAATCAACATGTTGCAGGGCCGAGCCGGGCCCAAGTAATGCTCTCATGCAAGTGGCCGGCACGTAATTGCAATTTAACCCGTTTTGAGCTACACTTAGCCAGCATTTTATGGCACTGAGAGACCCTGACCCCTTGCTCCTGTGCTGCTGCTGCTGTTGCTGCTCCTGCTGCTGCTGCTGCTGTGGCAAGCTTATGAAATTTATAAGCGCCAAGCTGCTGATGCTCCTGTACCTCGGATGCTCCTCTGATGCTCCTCTGCTGCCTCTCCAGCTACTTGACTGAGGCCACAAATTCATAAGCTTTGAGAGTGTGAACCTCAGGCCGCAGGCTGGCAAACACGCAGTCCGGATTCAGCAGTCAAGAGGAGTCAGAAGTCGGTAACAATAGCCCGGCCGGAGTAGGTTAAACAGCAGCTAGGAGACGTGAAAGCCGAAAATAGACTTAAATTTGAAGTGTAGAATGTGGCAGACTTGTGCTCCGCGCCTAAGACGTTCAGACACATTAAAAATAATCGCAATTTAAAGATACTCAAAGTAGAGCACATAAAAATAGGAGCTGGAGTGTATAAAATGTCTCCCTAGTTGCTGATTAGATTTGAATGAGTGAATGGCAGTGCTGAAGTGCCGCCAGAAGTGCTGCTACTCGTCGATTAAAAGCTTAATAAATTTGAGGGCACTTCAACGTATTAAAAAGTATCTCTGATTAGATTTTAAACACTTCACCTAATTGCTACAACAATTAGCTTAAGCTCTGGGCAACAACTCTGCCGATCTCACCCCCGTTTATTCTTTGATTTTTCTCTTGGTTTTCCATGTGCCATGTTCATTGCCAGTGCACTTTGATCGATGATTGGGGCAGAGATTTCAGTTGATTACCCAGCAACTGAAACACAAATCAATTTATCTAAATGTAGCATATATTTTATTTTATTTTATTTTGTTTCGTTTTATTGTGTTTGGGGACTAGTCTTTCGTGCCCGACGAACCGAAGCTCGATAAATAATTTATTTCTCTCAGCTGCACGCAAAGGCAAAGGCAAAGGCAGGCAGTGGAGACCACAAAAATGGATAGACAGAAGGCAAAAACTAAAGGAAAAACTAGAACGAAAAAGCCACACACACACACACACACACGCACTGAGATGGACAAAGAGACAGAGCGACTGACAGACAGATAGACCCAGACACATGCATGGATCGGAGCTATACAAATGAGACAACACCTGGCCACAGAGAGCACAGAGAGCACAGAAAGAACTGAAACTGAAATTGAAGCTGAAGCTGAAACAGAAGCTGGAGCGGAACGGAGAAGTGCGCGCTGGCACAAGGCTCAAGTGGATGGAGAGTGGAGAGCCTTGCCACGGCTTGGCTTGGCTTGACTTGACTTGGCTTGGCTTGGCAGCAACTTTGCCTCACATTGACGTGCCGACTGAACCAACTGACTGACTGACTGACATTTGAATTACAAGCAGAGGGAGAGAGGGAGAGAGAGAGAGAGGAACTCTCAACACAAACTCAACAAAATGACACGACTTGAATTGGCTGCCAAGCATGAACGCATACAAGTTAGTCGAGTCGAGTCGACTCGAGCAGCAGTCCAGGACTCTACGCTCCTCGGCCAAGAAATGGCAAAAATTACCAGTTCATAGAAATAAAAGAGGAATAAAAAGAAGGAAAAACAAGAGACACAGGGACAGAGACAGAACCAGAGGCAGAGGCAGGAAAGGCTAATCATTTCAGTCTCCTGAAACTGTGGCCCAAATGCACCTGCATGCTATATGCCCTGCTGCTCTTTAGCTACAGGATAACAACAGGCAAAGCCCGAAAAGAAAACCCCGAGGCTAAGGCCCAGCAAATGGCAGAGAGACAGGGAGAGAATGAGAGTGAGAGCGAGAGAGACTGACTGCAACTTCAAGTTTTATTTCCAAATGTTTTTGTTTATTTATTTTTGTTTATTTATTTTTTATTTTTATTTCGGTGCCAGCAAACTAACTGGATAACTTTCCAGTACGCGCACGGGACTGCTGCTGCTGCTGCTGCTGTTGCCCTCCAATCAAATTGCAGGCAGAGCAAACAGAGTCTAAGCATAATTTAGATGTCACATTGGGGCCGGGCCACTTCAAGTTGCAGTTTCGATTTAATTCAAAAATCATTCCGCAGCAGCAAAAAGGGCCAATTCATCAAGGAATTTCGGTCAGCATCAGCGGATCTACTGCTGCAGAGGAAGGACCTAACCCAGCCAGCCTGACTGGTAATTGCAGATTTATGACACCCAAAACATGTGGACAGCGCACTAGTCTAGAACACACACAGAAAAAAGGGTTCGAAGGCTGAGCTTGCAGTTCAGACTGAAGGATATCCTGTGGCAGTAAGGCAGAAGAATATCGCAAACTACGAACGTACAGGCACACCCTGCGTTTACCCTCGCATAGGCAACCAACAAAAAAATAAAGAACTTTTTTTTTTGACGCAAAGTTTGGCGGGAAATTTTTGAACGTTTCTGCATAATAAATTTTGAAAAGTGGATTAAAATGGCTGAACAAAAAATAGATATATGTTTGCCCTTTTGTTGGCCCAACCATATGTGTGGCAGGGGGAAGGGGGGGCTGGGGGCTGTGTGCGTGTGTGTCACTTTTGCTTTTTGGCCAGGAGGCAGCGCAGAGCATTGGCAAACATTTTGATAGCATATTTTAGGCCTCGAATCGGTCGGTGTGTGAATGTGAAATGCCAAATAAAGCAAAATTATTTGCACAGAGTTGTGTGTTTTTTTTTTTTTTGGTGATTTGACATTCTGACACTCTGACATTAGTCGCTGTCAGACATAACAATCGATGGGCCACCCACACACCACACCGACAACATGCCCTTGCCCTGCCAGCCCGCAGTGTGAGAATGAAATTAGCCTGCAAATTGTGACAAAATTTAAATAAATGCCAAATGAATCACATTCCTACGTCTGCGCCAATTTTATGACTACAAATATGGCAATTTGTCAGAAAGTTCATGCCCCCGAAATTGACTTGCAATATGTGGATTTCCTTATACGATTTACTGCAGAGCAACACAATGGAAAGCTAATCAAACACTTGAGATATGTTCTTCAATGAATTTTCAATTAATTGAACAGTATTTTCTGTACTTAAGTGTTTTATATTGTTTAAGAGAGGCGATACGGCTTTACGGAATCAAGTACAAAATAATATTATATATTATATATACATATGTATATATATATATGATATATATTATTTTATATATTATTATTCAAGTGTTTATTTCCTATGAGCGTAAAACAGTGAATAGCTCCTCAAATGATTTCATTTTATATTTTAATCGATCAAAGATCACTCCAATAAAATAGGGTAGACGGGATTTAAATTTATTTCAATCAATTTTTATTGTAAAGATTTCCCAAAATAAGTTTTTTAGTTTTCACATATCTTTTCACCATATAATAAATGAGGCTGTCCTTGGCTGCGGTGCCTCGCAAATGTAGCGGCTTTTGAATGAGCAACGTCTATCATTCAAAACATTATAATTTGTGCTAGTCCCCCGGTATCCCAATTCGTCGCACTGCCCCTCACCATTCTGATGATTTGGCTCCCCCGGATACCAGATCTTCAATGTCAGCGGCTCTCCTGTTGAGTGCCAAACATGTTTGCCCTCATTTGCCAAATCGTTGCCTGAGGTCCAATATATAGCATAGATATTATTTTTTATGAGATACTTATTGACCAGATCCCATTCCTCTATGGTCTCGAACGCGATTAATTCAGCGCCCATTCGTCGGCACGCTTCGTAGGCATCAAACCAGTTACTCTCCAGCTTCGTTTCGATATAATAGTAACCATCGCCGATCTTTACGAATGGCGCTGGATTTATGTTGATAAATTTAGGCACTCCTAAAACGAACAATTGCAGAGCCGTCAGAATAGGTTCGATAAATGTTTATTGTTCAGTCTTACCGTCCATAACATTGGATGTTATTCTATATCCTGCAGCTAGGGATAGCAAGCCCAATAGGGCCAATACTCCAGTATATTTTCGATACATTTTGCCTGTGTTGACTGTGCGTTAAATCTCAGACTATGGCTCTTTTATAGCCCACAAAATAGTCTCAATCATCCCTATCTTATCAGGAAGTGCCCTTTGCATTCGATTGTTGACACAGTCGTTACAGATAAATACGAGTATTTGAAGCATCAAACACCTGAGAAAACTTTCCAGGAAATTTCGATTGCACTTACGTAAGGCTTCCCCTGTACTGTAAACGCTTTTTGCTGTGATTCATAATTTTTGTATTTATATATATTTTTTTATTTATATATATTTTTATTATTATTACAATTGCCAGAATATAAACGATACTGTTTTTGGCTGGGGTGCCCCTATCATTCAATACATTGTATTTTGCGCTAGTCCCTCGAAATCCCAATTCGTCGCAGTTTTCGGGAGTGTTGCCCATTTTATTTGGCTCCCCCGGATACCAAATTTTCAGCGTTAAAGGTTCTCCAGTTGAGAACCAAATACGCTCACCCTGGATGTCCAAGTCGGTGCCTGCGGTCCCGCATAAATCATAAATATTATTGTTAAACAGATTCAGATTGATTGAAACCCATTTCTCTATGGTCTCGAATGGGATTTTAACTAAATTAAATTTTTGTTTACTAAATATAAAGACCCTTATCCATTTAGGTTAGCTTTCCATTCTCCCATTGGGCATTGCCCTCCATCTATGAATTAAGTTAATTTGTTGTACGTGTTGCCTGGCCAAAAGGCTTTAGCCAACTGGAATACTAATGCCCCAAAACTAAAACTAGTTAAACTCTCGATTGATATACTATCTACATTTGTCTTTGCATTAATTTAATCTGATGGCAATTAAAGGGGAGCGTGCCTGCCACAGCCTCTGCCCATGCCCATGCCACAGCCACTGCCCATGCCACTGCCTTTAGTTATTCATAATCTCCGCATCTATATAGCTGGCATAAATGTTGTTATAATTTGTGTGCGCCTAATTAGTTGACTTTTGGTGTTAGCTAGACGCCATCGCCACTGCCGACTGCCGACTGCCATCGCCTCCTCCACTGATCCAAGCCAACCCAACCCAAAGCAACCCGATCCAATTAGTTAGATAATTCAATTCAAATAATAGCAGAAGGCCAAAGATGCACTGAGCTCTGCGCTGGCAAAGTATTTGTTTCTGCAATGCAATTGCATGCCGGGTAGAATAAATAGCTGGCGATGGCGATGAAGGACTCCGATACCCTAAGCGCACGAACTGGAAATGTATGATGAGTGATTCCTTTTTTCTATATACATATAATGACATATCTATTGAGCTCTCTGAACAATTCTTGGCAAATTAAATTAGTGCAAAGAAATCTTTAATCGAAAAATGGCTTAAAACATTTATGAAATATTTTCTTAGTGCTCTAAATATTTCCTAAAAATATTCCTTCCATCAAAAAGGCTCTTAAGAATCTCTAATGAATGAAGTAGTCAATTTCAGGGCACTGTGGCCTCACTTTTCTGACCCCCAAAATTACTCCAACTTATCCCTAGGGTATCCAAAGTTTTATTTGCCTAAGAAAAAGAATTTTTCGCGTATTTTTTTCTATTGGTTTTTGTGCTTGTTAGCCAGTCGCTGCCCTGCATTCTCTTTACCAACTAATTTACTGAACCACCAGCAGTCTGCCCCCTGCCCCCTCTCTTAATTCCCAGTCAGAATGCAGAATGGAGCTTTGAGATGTGAGGGGGGGCAGCGGGGTAGTGACTGGAGCTGGGTGCTGCACAGAGCACAAGTAACAAATCAAACGAGTGCTTTTGTAAATTACATTTGAATTATCCGCTCTGCTCTGCCCTGCAGAGCACTGCCCCTAACCCTAACCCTTACCCTTACCCTAACCCTTACCCTAATCCTTCCTTCTTCCCTTCCCTTCTGCTGTCTGCAGTTTCATGCATTCATTCATTCATTCGTTCTGTGACTGTTCTTTTGCTGCTCGTTCTGTTCTTCGTTTGGTTTCGTTCCAATGTTTGCAGCACTTTTTGTGTTGTGCTGCCACCACATGGCAACAAGAGACAGCAGCAGCAGGAGGAGCAGCAGCAGGAGGAGCAGCAGCAGGAGTAGGAGGCAGCAGGGGCACAGCTACTGCCACTGCTGCCATTTGCAAAGTGGATCAAACAGCCAAAGTTAATAAACACTTTGCTCAGAGACAGAGACAGAGAGACAGAGAGAGAGAGAGAGAGAGAGAGAAAGGGAGAGCGAACCATTCCAATGGGTGTCCCTGTGCCTTTGTGTCCAATTTAGTGTCCATTGCAATTTGTATGTGTGGCATGTGTGTGTGTGTGTGTGTATTTTTGTTGCCAAGTGAAATTGAATGCAAATAGAAAAACAAAACAAATGCAGCGCCACACAACGACGGTGAACGGTGAACGGTGGCATTTCACTTTAATTTACGCGTTTTCCGTTTCAATTAAAACAATTCGCCAACCGGGGCGAACATTTAACGTGCATTTGGGCGCCATTAAGTAGGCTATGTATTTGGCACCGCAGCCCACATGCCCCCTCGCCCTGCCTGTGTTTTGGGTGCATGCAAATGTGGCCCCAAAATGGCTAATTATTTATGGCCTAAAGGTACGTATGTACAGCCAACAGCCAACAGCCCAGCCAACAGCCAACAGCCACCAAATTAAGGTCGTCTCGTCTCTCGTTCTGTGCCGTGCCGTTCCGTTCCTCAGTCATTTGTCTGATTAACAACGCGAATCGGGTCACTGAATTTGGTTGGATATTTATTTTCGTTTGGCCAACAACACACATGCCATGCCATGCCATGCCACGCCATTGTCTTGCCACATACTTGGCCTAAGTTTTAGTTATCTTTGGACCGCGCCTAATGAATGATTCGTGACCCCAATTTGTGGGAGAACTTATGAAGATTCTTATGAAGAATTATTCCTTGGCATTAGGCAATGGAAATGTCTGTGGGTGTTTGTGCTCTCCCTTTTACGGTCGCATTCGATGTGTTTTCTTGATGTTCCCCATTGAAATCTTGCACGAAAATAACACAAAAGTTCGCTGCATTATGCCAAAACAAGAACCACAAAATGAAACGGAACCAAGTTAAACCCCAAACCCCCCAGACTGTCGTTGCAGCAGAAAAACAAACTTGTCATCTGTCAGATGGTGTCAATGGCGAACGGAAATCACTCGACCTGAACGCCAAGACCAGCCCCCCAAAACCCCAAAACCCCAAGACCCCAAGACCGGTGGCTCCAAGCTCCAAGACTCCAAGCCGCTTGTCGCACTTTTAACGGAAATATTGAACTTAACATTTCAGCGAAATGTGATTGAGGGAGGGGCCAGAGAAAAGAAAAGCGGATGAAGCGGAGGAAGAAAACGAAGCCAGACTCTTTGACTTGCCTGACCGGGTCGTGGTTCTGTCTCCGCTGCTTCTTTTAGTTCTACTCCTACTACTGCTTCTGCTCCTTGTACCACTCCCAGTTCTTCTCCTTCGTCGGATTCCACTTTTCGTCCTGGTTGCTGTTTCTTGCTCTGGTCCGGTGACATGTGAGCGACGTGCAAATGTAGCGGAAATGAATTTTACGCTCAGAAAAACCAATAAAATCTGTATATAGTTATGGACATATGTCAATGCACTGGCAGAAAATGGGGGCTACAAATAGATAAAGAGTTATCCCACCTAGAAAAAATGCATAAATATATAAACTTGCAGACTTAAGTTAAATCTTAAGTTTCTTGCAGCTTTAAGAGTTTTTTATATATTCCGATTTTGAAAAGACAAATAACTAAATTTGATAAATGTAACAATTTTTTATAAGATTGGTTTATTTTTATAAGCGTAATTTAATTACATTACTTATATAATTTTTTAAACGAAACAAAGCCAACAAAATTATATTTTTTTCGTTGAAAAAGGGCATATAAATATTTTTAAACTCTCTTTGAAAATTGAAACTAAAATGTGTTGGGCGATTAATGACTCTCTTCCTTAAATATTGGTACTAAAATGTACCATAATTAAACCTTAATTAGAGAACAAGTTTCCTTCGACTCTAAGTTTATTCTTACCATATTCCTTCGATTATTTTCTCAACCAATTTAAAACCCATTTCGAGGCTTTAAATTAAATATCCCCAATTTTAATTGCAGTGCATTCACAGGTGCAATCAAATGTTGGCAGAAAGGGGGGCTGTGTATACCCGTGGGAGGGAGGGGGGCTAGCAAAATGTTAGCAGAATGTTCTTTGGCAAAACAACAAAATGTTTGTGCATTATTTACGCGTTGCTGGCATTTTATGCTAATAAATTACCAATATGCATGAACGTAAAACTTTCTGTTGCCGCTGCAGGTGGAAGCGCGGAAAGGGTCGCGGCGGCATGAGGCATGGCAATGGGTGGGAGTGGGGGGTGGCTAAAGAAGTTACCAGCTAAACTGGCACACACACATACATACGTCACGGGAGGGTGGCGGGGGCAACGCATTTATTATTTTTTGATATTTTTTTACATTTCCCCCACACGGCGAACCTGGAAAATCGAACGGAGGGGGGCGGATAAAAGCAGCGCGAAAAGTCAGGAAAAACCAACTAAACCAACAATATTTTTGTTGTTGTTGTTGTTGTTGTTGTTGCTGTTATTCTGTGTGGGTGATGTATATCTGTGTGTGTGTGTGTGTGTGTGTGTGCGTTTTGTGCATTGGTTGACGCCAAAGAAATTTGGCGTCAGTTTTATGTGAACGAAAAAAAAAAAAAAAGGTATAAATGGTGGAGAGAGGGCGGGCCCGGTAGATGGGTGGGTGGTGGGGGGAGCCAGCAACAATGGCAAACAAAAATCCGGAAAAAATAGCAAATCGTATAAAAATAGCTGAAACACACGCTCAAAAACTCCAAATGCATGCGAAGAGTGTGGCAGTGGCAGTGGCAGGGCTGGAGGGGTGGAGAAATGTGAGAAGAGTTTGCCTTGAGCGGAGTAGTAGGAAGGCGGCAGCCTGCGAGTGGCATCAAGCAGAGTGGAGTACGAGTTCGAGTACGAGGCAGGCGATA